TCGCCGTAATGCAGCATGGTTTGATTTCTTTTTTCTTCTCTTCTGTGAGATTTTAGGTTAGTGGTAGCTTTAGACTGGTTGCTAATTTGTCTGTCTTGACTCTGGTCCAATATGGAGCCTCCATCCTGTTGGGACTTCTGGTAAAGCAGGTGGGTGGAGGGGGTGAAGGGGGGTGGTTTGCTAGCTTTTGTGTTTGTTTGAAGGATTGCAAGGAGCAGAATCTAATGGAGTTTAAAGTGGCATCACAGTCCTCTGAAATTTAATCTCTGGAAATGTATTTCTAATTTAGTCTGTTGTGAGGTTGATCAGTCTGTTGGCAGCATGTCACTGCTGTGATCTGGGCCAACTGCCACAGTTGTTGGTGGGAAAATTCAGATTGGGGGGGGTGTGTGTGAGCACACATGGCTGCATTCACACACTTGTTTCCACTGCTTGCTAACTAAGCATGTGTTATTTATAGCTTTGAAGGCACTTGCACTTAAAGAAAGGCAACCTGTGTGGGGATGTGACTTATCTCCCATTTTTATTTCCTGCTGTCTCTCAGCATTCTGCTTTAACAATGCAAATGGGAAGCATGGGTACTTTTGTCCTATTCCAGTGCTTCATTCAGAACATTTGTTGTTGGGTTTTTTTTTTTTTTTCTTATTTTAATCAGTGGCTGTTTAGCTCTTGCACCTGTAATTTTCTTCTTTGTTATTCATCTGTAGAGTAATTGATGTTTTGTACTGTCAATTAAGAACTTGCAATTCATTCCTAATTTCTTCAGCATGCAGGAGTACTCATATATTTCAGACAACACGTGCATTCAGACGGCAAGATCCCAATTACAATTATATTAAAAACCACGAGGGAAAATCTGCTCTGAGTGCCACACATGACATGTTCTTGGTCTGCTTAAATGGGCTGAAGAAAAGCAGAAAGGGGAAGCTGTCAGCTTGCTGTTTCAGCACCTCCACAAGCTTATTGCTCCATCACCCCTGTATAAAGCCTGAAAAGAGCCAGTAAAAATGGGGGGAAATTGTCTTGGACATCTGCTACTTGGAGGAGCTGGAGAGCGGTTGTGGCTTGGAGAGAGAAGGAGTGGGGTTGTTGAGATTGGTATTAGCATGGTTCTGGCTTCAGTGTGTGGACTGCTGTGTCCTTCAGGAGCTCCTGGCTGCCGTTTGGTCCCTCGGGAGGTTTAGCTCCAGGTGGTTGCCTCTTTCGACGTCCCCACTGGAAAAAAGGAGGTGGAAGCTGGTTGTTAATATGCTTGCAGGGAGTTCACGTAGCAGCCCATTGGTACGTCCAGCGCCAGAAAGGTCCCACAAGTGGCCTGCACTGGCAGGCTTAGCTTGGTGCTGCTCTTTGGTGGTATCCAGTGAGCTTGGAGAGGGAAGAGCCAGGAGCTTACTTAAACCCTGCATAGGGAAGACTTGGGTTTTTTTGGAAGGGGTTTGTTTTGGTTTTGAACCTCTGTGCTATTATTTATTGAAGTGTTGAGGGATTCAAAATGGCTTGCATGGTGGGACATGTGGTTGTTCTGACTTCTGTCCAGATATGTCTGTCCAGCCCTGGCTGTTTGCACTTTTGTGATGAAATGCAACATACAATTCCATGGAAATAAGAGCACATGCACAGGGTGTAAGTTCAGCACTTTGAAAATTGTTTAGTAGTGAGTGTAGTAGTCATAAGATCCAGGACAGTAAATCCCCATGTTTGTGTAATTTTAAAAATTTTTTTAATTTTTTTTTTTTTAAGTTGGGACTCTCTTAGGTCCTAGTCCTTCAAAATGCTCTGATGATACAGTCCCTGCATTCATGATCAAAGCTTTTCTTTGGCAAGGGATTCTTCTCCAGGACTGGTGGGAAAACAGCTCTGTGGGCATGTCTCTGTCCTTGTCCCACCACACCCAGCAGCAGTGTCAGAAGCACAGTCTAAATTTCTCGCAGTGTCAGCATGTACTTTCATTTTCTATTTTTAAACAGAGAAATTTAAAAATCCCGTCACCACTACAAGTTCACTCTTCAGTACTCTGGGGGGTTTATTTTAAGTGGCAGCAGCTGAATTCTGTGCGTGATGGAGCAGTACTATCACGTGACAATGTGGAAGAAAGGCCCTTGATGTGCGTAAGGTCCCATACTTAGGAAGAGAAGCCCTGTTTACCTGGCCTCCTGATATGTGTCAGAAAATCTAATGATTCAAATCACTTTTATTTACTTTTTTTTTTTTAACTTTTTTGTTTTTAACATCCTGTAATGTCAAAGGGAGATAATTTAACCAAGATGACCTGCTTGGTTTCATTACCCAGAATACTAAGGGCTTTAGACATATTTTTAATTAGTTTGTTTTATGAACTCTTGATTTGATAATGCAATGTACTAATTACTTCTTAAAAGGTAAGTGGAGCAGAATGAAAAAGCTGTAACAGTTGATGAATATCAGAGCACCCTGGAATACATCTAACTGACCAGATTTGGCAAGGGTCCCCTGCTTTCTATTATTTTAAAATCTTTCTTTCTTTGTTTCTTTTTTTATTAAATAGTGACCTAGAATTTCCAACACAAGAAGGAAGGGAATAGCGCAGATATCTCTGAAGTGTTTGTCTGCAGTGTTCTTATCTTTAAATAGCTTCTTTGAAGGAGCCCGTATGCCCTTTGCCAGAGGCATAATTAGTATCTTTCAGCAGCGTGCATAGATATGACTGTGTCATCTCCATGCGGTTGTACAATGGCTTTTACCGTATTTTCTGCCTCTGATCAAATTTTTCTTAATAGCTTCCATTACAGTGCATTTAAGTTACCTTTACTCTCTGTAATTATTTACAGGTTAAAAAAATTGCGAGTGGAATAATATAGGGCTAAAGGGGGAAGGAGAAACAACTCCCTGTGAGTGATAGATCTTTGGCAAAAGGTGTTAACAGGAAGGCTATGATTAGGAGCCTACATTTTAAGAAGTTTTCCCATGATCAATTTTCTAATTAAGCTGGGCCTCCGGGAGTTACATGCTAGAGAATTTCAGGGATTCCTAAATAAAGATGGTTTAATTGAGATCTCACAAACTGAGTTTTCAGGCTCTTCTAACAACTATTCTGCAAAACGTGTGACCGTTCGTTTTGTTTGAGTACTGCAATGACTTAACGATCTCATGATTACAATTGGGCAAAACCAAAATACAAAATCTCACTAAAGCACATTTGTCCAAACTTCAGTAACTTCTAAATCTCAGTGCCCCAGTCCTCTCTCAGTTTGCTCTTAAACAGGCTTTTTATTTTTCTAAACACCTTGTTTGGGTGGTAGGCTTGGGCTCCTTTGATCCCAATCTTCTCTCTCAGGTCTTAATAGGAGAGGTTGCTTGTGCCAGTAGATACCTGCAGAGGTTTTCCATTACAATGGGAGAGCCCCCAAAATGAAAAACTTGGGAGCTCTTAATTTTGGGCATGTTAAAAAACAACTGTTAATTTGCCTAGCTTTAACGAGGCAGAAGGTATGCTTGCCTGGTAGTTCAATTTCAATAGGTACACTGGACTTTGAGAGCCGGTGACTGCATCAGTCGTGTTCTTGGAGCACCAGCCTTACAAGGCGGCACATTGCCACCATGGAAACATGCTCACTAGATCAGAGTAAGCACATTAAATAGCACAGCAACTTGATTAGGCTGGAAGCAAAGTAATGAAATGCTGACACTGTCCAAAAATGTGAGCTGCTTTGCAGCCTGCATTAGTTTTTATAACTCCAAAATAATACTAAAGCATGCAGACGTACAATAATTTGTTTAAAATACTGGAAGAAGACTTTTTATTGACTTTGTTGTTCAATCGTTTGCTATTTGGGACTAAAATTTTAGGATGGATTGACAACACAAGAAGAGACTTTGGGGTGTTGA